AGCCTAAAATATCTTTAAATTATTTTATATGTTCGTTTGTGTTGTTTGGTTTTGTGTTGTAAAACGATCAATTATTTTCCGTGTCAATGCCAATTTTTCCATTTTGTCACAAGCTAGATCACTAAATATTTATTATATATATTTTAATTTTTCAATATTATAATAAGTCCAAACCATATAATTCAATAGGAAGGTCAATATCAGTCATAAGTTGTGTATTGTCTAATTATCATTTAAGTCTTTATCAAGAAGTTTGGACACAAGTTAAGTTTGCTTTTTGTCTAAATAAAAATGGTTTATTTATCTAGGAACTATTTGTAATTTTTTTAAATATACATATTGTTTCCAACAGTGTTGAAAGTAATCCAAGCATTCGTGAAGCCTCGCCGTTCCTACTCCTAAGGACTATTAGAGTCTTTAACCAGTTGCTAAAACCGTTCGCCTATGCTATTAAAGGATCAAAAAAGAGACTAAAAAATAGGTATCTGTAACAACTCTAGCAAAGAAATTTACCTGATAATTACTAAAAGTAAGTACAGATGCCTTAAAAAAATTAATTAATTAAACGTTAATGAAAATGAAAATTATGAATAGCAAATTATTCACAATAAAACGAATAAACACCAAACAAGAAAATTGTGACTAGATTGTCTTGAAATTGAACCCGGCAACCAAAAGGAAAAATTATGGTGTAGGAAACAGAAATGATGTTGAATTGTAAATATATAGATAGCAGGGTAGAATAAGAATAAGTTAATTTTTGAGAGCACAAAACTATTTATAAATAATAAATTTGGCATTCGGGGCTGCAGATATTTTAACAGGCTGTGCTTTTAAATATCAGTTAGCCGAATCGTACAGCGTTGTCACGAGTTATTTTTAAGAGTAGATGAAGTAATCAGTTGGAAACCGGTCGCCAATTAAAATTGACTTTGTGGGAAATAAAGAGCCTTTTCTTTACACATTCATACTCAATAAGGTATAATGTTTATGCAGGATTGCAAATCTACAAGAGTGCAATAAAACGATAAATAATGTATTCCTATTTCATCGTCATTTAATGGATATAGCACTTAATGACAAACGAAATACATTAATTTTTCATTACTTGCTCAGAATTTTAATTTAAGATAAAAGAATATTTATACCAATTGAAAAATAAAAATCTCTCTAAGATAGAATTGGTCATTGTTTAACAACAGAAGGTTATTAACTAATTTAAGTAGTCATTTCACTATATTTTAATGATCAAAACAAGTTTACTATTTCGTAATGAAATATGTTTTGCTTGATGAATTGTAGTAAAACTTTGGCATCTTATAGTAAAATGTTTAAGAAATGAACTGGTTCATTTAACCTGCTTAATATTAAATATTAAAGAAAACAAAATGTAAAGAACCAGTTAAAAAAAAATTACTAATTAATGTTTCCTGCTTTTTAAAATTACCAAGCAAAATGATTCTATAAATATTTAAGTAATATGAGTTGCCAACCACTCCTAAAATACTGATACTTGAAATCACCAAAATTACTACAAATTTTCTCGAAACTTCCGAAATCATCATTGAAATCAATTTGTCATTGTATATTACTGAAATAATATAAAATAAATTTTAGGCGATTTCCGAAATACAGGTACATTTTGACCTTAGTTTTTTTTTAATTAACAAAATGGCGGCATCAGGAAAATGTTTTCCAGATTTTCGGAAAAAACCAACAGTTAACTGTTTATAAAAAATCGAAATTAAAAAAAAATCCTTGGATCAGGCACTAGATTAACTATTAAAAAAATAATTTTTTTGTCAGATTGATTTTAGATGAATCTCCAAGGATAAGTGATGGTCACCACAAGGAGCTTCGGTTGGAAATGGATCAACACAAACAGCCATTACTTTTAAATTTTTTTTTTCCTAAAATTTCTGTCATGTCAAAACCTTATTTATATGTTTTTACTTTTATAATATAAAATAATTTACTGGCAAAAAAATTATTTAAAATTGTCATTTTTTTATGTCTGACTACACCTAACCCCTTAACTGAGGCCATTATGTAAGATTGAAACAGAGATAAGGGACATGAAGATATGAAACATTCATATGAAGCACGTACTTAACAAAACGACCACCTCGAACGCAGTTAACATCTGGCCCACTATGTGGCGCTTTCATTGATATCAAACAACACAACGGGAATTTTAAAATTATTTCAAGTCCATAAATAAATGCGATTGTCCAGTTCCGCCAGTAACAATTTAAAATTACTTGTTTTATGAAACAACACTGGCTCATAATACCACGAAATTCTCAGTCGTCCGAGGTGCTTTGACGTTTACCCCCTCTCCACCTACCAAAAGACTTTCCAACTTCTGCACCTGCTTTATCAACATTTCATATTTTTATACAAGAAATCTGCCCGGTCCTTTGTCAAGTCAAAATATTTTCACATATTTACCTATTTCTGGTTTTTAAAAAGGTAGTTGAGCTGCCCTCACTATCAGATGATGTAAATGATGACATTTTTTGAATTTCAATTTGTGCTAATGAATCTTGTTTTGCTTTCATAGTTTTATTATTATTATCCACAAAAGTTGCAGTTATACTCTTGCCAAGATTTCTTAAAAATCCTTGAAAATTAAAATCTTCACTATTTCCTTTTTTATCTTCTACGATTACCAAGTCATTTATATCATATTTGTTTGGACCTGCAATGAGTTCCACAGTAGCTTTGGATTTATTCAATTTGTTTGTGGTTTCTGCTGGTTCTACTTTTTCTTCAACGTCCCCTAAACATTGCTGGATAATCTGACGTGATTCCTCAAAAACAACTTTAAAATTATGAGCCGTTTTGAGAACATCTAAGCACATTATACATATAAATTGGGGATGTTTTTCCGCTAGGGTAGGCTAAAATAAATATCTTATATATTATAAAAAATATATAACTTCTATAACTTACCGAAAAATTAAGAACATTGGTTATCACATCGGTAATTATTAAATTTGTTTTGTTCTCAGGATCAAATATTGCGTTGAAAGAAGATACTAAAGGGATCATTTCTGCAGTCCTTGTTAAACATACTCGGCAAAGATTGGAAAAATCTAAATTACTCATTTTAAAATTATTTTAAGCTAGGTTTGTAGGTTATAATAATTTATAAATAATAACAAGCAAACAACAAACGAACAAACATTTAACATTTGTCAATTGTCAGAGAGAGAGAGAGAGTAGTCATATGACATCGGGTGTGGAGTCAGAGGAGGAATGACGGAATGAGGATCAAAATGGTCCTTAAATATGGCAATCTTGTGTTTCCGGTTTCCAGTGAGGTACGATCACAAAGCATGTATCTTCTAGAGACCCCACGCCAATGTTAAACTTTTAAACCAAATTAGCGCCACCTTGTGTTTGGAGCTGGAACTAAAATGACAATTGACAGATGGCGGTAAATTCAAATTGTAATTTTTAGGAGTAGGTAGTAGTTTTAAATTAAATTTTAAATGATTTCCACATAAATTATTTTATAAAATAAAGTATGGAACTAGTAAGTTCGAAACTTTTATTTTACAAAATAATTTAGGTCGATTATACCAAATTTGAAGAATTAATTTGTTATAAGGGGTCTAATGTGGAGAGTTGGTTCTGCATATTTTTATTAAATAAATATAAGATATATCAATAAATAATAAAATAGAACATTCTTAAAATATGTTTATTAATAACTTAAATAAATATTATTAGATAAAAATAAATACAAATAATAAAACATATTTAACGAATACTTACTTGGAGCAAATAGATATATAATCTCAAATCTTTAAAATACCTATCAATAATTTAAATGTGAAGTAGAGACTAGGATATTACATTTTATTAACACTAAAGTTATATATTTTATAAATGTCTTTTTAACTGAGGACAAATGTAATATAGGTATTGTATTAAAAGGTGAATCCTTTTAACTATTCATTCAATGATAAATAGGTATTTTCCTTCCAAATACAGATTTCGGAATCTAGTCCAGTGATAAATTGATTATCAATTAGTTGTTGTCCCCGTTTGTCTTTTTATGATGCAGATGCATGGTGAATATATGGTGAATCAATGAAGTTTTTCTCGAAGTTTTCAACGGAGCACCAAAATTATTGCAAAACACAGTAGGAAATAAAAAAGCGAAACATCACAATTTTGCAAATAACTAAGACGAAACTATAAACAGAAACCAAAGCCAACAAAAAATCACTAAAATCAGACGGAAAAATGAAACTAACCAAGAACATAAATAAATACACGTCACATCTTTGGAGTCTTTGGTTAAGTTTTTCTCCCATAAGGATTAAAAATGGAGTAAGAAATCATAATTTCACCAGTAGCCCCATCTAGAGTTTGGAGCAAATAGCATAAAAAATGTCAGTTGTCGGTTTTGACCTTGGTCATTCACGTGGAACCTCTATGTGCTTTGTGGGTACGATCAATGAACTGGAGTGGGGTAGAAAGCTAATGTGCATATTTTATCAATTGAACAAGATGCGACTCTATGGGCGCAGCCATTTTTATTTCTCATCTCACTCGGGAGTATTTATAATAACCATTTTCTGTTTCACATTGTTATTGTTTAATCCACAGGCTGGTGGATCAGACAATAACAAAGTGAAATAGAAAATGGTCGTTATAAATACTCCCGAGTGAAATGAAAAATAACCTGTCTTCGCCCATAGAGTCGCATCTCAAGCCTATTGACAAGCATTCTACCCCACTCCAGTTCATTGGGTACGATTCAAAATTCAAAAAAGGCTAAAAAATCTATTGAACGTTAAATATCAATAATTTTAAAATGTTTAACAGGAAAGCAACTTTTATTTGCGCTTATAACGGTCTTAATAAAAAGTTTTCAAATAGCTGTGTTTGCTCGTTCTAATCGTTCAAATACATACAATTATTCTAATCGCATAAAAATGCCAATAATAAAACTGACAACTGACATATGATGGCAGTTTTGTCACTGATAACCAGCTGACAACTGTCAATTAAGTGATCAATAAAAAATGGAGAAATGTCAGTGTTTATAAATTATCCTTTGTTATTACTATGACCCTGCCAGTGCTTTTTCTGAAATAATTAATCTACAGAGTAACAGTTATTGTTAGAATAAACTTTATAGACAGAATAGGTAAAACTAAATTACCAATTAATTTGGACAGAGTTACGACATAATTTTTTTTTTCAGGTCTTTGATTAATAATGATTCAACACCTGTTAATTATGTCAGGACTAAGCTCCAGCTGTACAAGAGATTGTTCAGGAAGAGGAGAGTGCTATAATGGTACATGCACATGCGACATTCGTTTTACTGGCGATCTTTGTGATGGCCCCAACTTGCCTTACCACACTGGAATTGGAGGAGTCTTCTTCTTTATTAGTCTAGTGTGCGCTATTCAGTTAATAATATGTATAGTATCTGAGTATAGTAGATTGAAAGCACCAAGTTTACCAAAAGCTTGCAAAGTGACGACGCAAAAACTTATCTATTTTGTAACATTCTTAGCAAGTTTGATTAGAGGAGCTTATTTCATATTTCCGGTAAGTGCCATACATTTATATATGTGCCTATTTATTCAGTTTACACAATATATGTAACGTACAAATATTCATTCATACATAAATAACTATTAGGTACCTTGTCTGCTTTCTTGCATTGCATAGATTTAGAGTGGAATTCAACAAATCTACCCGTCTATAATTTACATTTATAGTAATTCTCATGTTTGAGGAGAATTGGCAAAGGATTGTCAAAAAAACGTCTTTTTAGTTTTGTCTAGGTTACTGTGCAAAACTACGAAAATGTCCATTAAGTATGTGAATAAGAGACAATAGGTAAAATTCTTTTTTGCATTACTCTTCCCAGTTTTGCAATATTTACATAAGTAATTGGAAATGTATGCATTTTTTCATTGAACAATAGGACACATAGAATAGAAATAAACTACTTTAAGTAGAGAAAAAAAATTATTCCAACTCAAATGTGGCCAAGATGTGAAATAAAATAAATAAACCACATATGGCTTTGAGTTTTATTTATTTTATTTTACTGTAAGTGGGTAAGTATAGCTTAATTCACAGTCTCTTTAAATATTTACTGACTAAGGTTAAGACCACAAGTAATCAACACTAGTATAAATTCTTGTGGCGATTAAATGTAATTTTGGATACACCAGTAATCGACACCCTTTCACCAGTTATTGCCATCCCAGTAATTGACAGTTTACCAGTTATTGTCACCCCAGTTATTGACAGTTTCACTAGTTATTGTCGTCCCAATTATTGACTACAAAGACAGAGCATTAAGAAGTCGAACACTGGAGCCCCATAATACCCCAGGGGTTCTTGTAGATCAAAATTTTACTTGGAAAGAACATATTACCTATGTGACAAGCAAAATAAGGAAATTAATATATACATTTTATGAGTTACGCCATGTCTTGAGTTTTAGCACATTAAAGATGGTGTATTATGCACTGGCTGAATCAATTTTGAATTATGGGTTGGTGGTTTAGGGTAGTGCCGGAGTGACGGTTTTAAACAAACTACAGGTTGCACAAAAATATATCATAAAAATTATGTTATTTAAAAATAAAAGGTTTCCTACTGAATTGCTTTTCAAAGAGAGTCAGTTATTATATATTAGACAGTTACACCTTAAAGCAGTAGTTAGATTCATGTTAAAATTTTCCTACTATAAGGAATCCATAAGCCATGGGCGTAACACAAGAAATGCAGCTCAAAACAATGTAGCATGCCAAAACCCCAAGCACACCATTTGCCAAAATCATATTTATTGTCTTGGTCCAAAAATCTTTAACTGCCTTCCTAATGATATTAAAGTAAAACCATATTCTAAGTGTAAAAAAGAGATAAGATAGTGGATATTCCAAAGCAATTATGTAATTAATTATATAGTTTAATTTTAAATAATATATCACACAATTATTGTTCATATATATATACTTATTTTACTATCTCCTATCGAATTATTGTTACCACATTTCTACTACTTTAGTACAAAAATCTGTTATACTTAGCTTAAATAAGAATATATTTTTTGTTATTAAAAAAAAAAAAAAAAAAAAAAAAACCTCAAAGATACATGTATAAGAAAGAGTGCACACACAGTACTTTAAGTACAATCGTGCACTAGAGTAGAAGTTTTCATTTTAAATATTATTTAGAGGGTGACCTCAATTTAGGAATTAAGTAGTTAAGTAATAGAGTGATTTATTTTTCTCCTGTTCCTATAATTAATTATATTACTGTTTAATATAAATGTAAACTACTACATAAATAAATAAATAAAAAATAAATAAATAAATTGACACAAAATGTTGAACACTTGAGAATAATATGTGTATGAGTACCCAGTTATAGACACCCCTAAAATTTAGGTTAAAATCTAAGTATGCAAGGAATTTTACCAAAAATATGTGTTTTAGAATGCAAAGATACCTTACACAAAATTTTATTTACATATCTTAAGTATTTAAATAGCAACAATCCATTTTATAATGTACTTACCTTAACAAATTCATTTAGAAAAAACAAAATTTACGTGCTTGACATAACGTGCGTAATTTTTTGCATCTTAACTAAAACTGTAACCTTCGAGATTTTTTACAGTATTTCCAGAGACATTAGACTTTCTTCCTGGCAGATAATTATGTACAATTCTGAACACATTAGGAGATTTGATTACTGGTGCACTGTCAAGTACTGGTTTTCTTACCTCACTTAAATCCTTAAAAGATAGAAACGACAGAAAGTAGGGTTGGATAATGTATTATTTTTTATATTTAGAGGAGAGGTCTTGCTCTTTAATGATTTATTATGCTAAATATTGGTTTTAATTTTGATAGAATGTTTATACATGGAAAACGTGTAACTTTGAAGACCTAAAAAATATATTTAGAGATCTTGTCATTTAATGATTTCTTATGTTTTTGATTGATATTAATTTACTGAATCATTCATACTAAAAATTGTATTAGGAATTTCGTGCTAAATATTGGTTTTTGTTATTTTGATATTTATCCGTGGAACCCTGCATCTCTTCAGAAGACAACTACTCTTTTGGCTAATACTGCAACAGGTATTAAATTATATCCAAAAGGAAAGACAGCAGAGATAGAAATGTAATTTTTAATTGAATTTTGCTTACTAAGGAGATGTCATTCTTAGACTGGTTTTCTCGTTATTAGGATTCATCAGCAAGCAATACATATATTCTCAAATTGAACCTTTAATGGAATTAGCAACTGTACCAAATTCGCCAGTACCTATACAATAACGGTTATGAAGTGAATAAGTAATGAAAGTAATAAAGCCATCTGCTCCTAATAAGCAAAATCAAAGATCCCTTGTAGTACCCAGTTAGAAAACTAGGTGGGACCAAAAACCAGGTTGGCAATTTTTAAAAAAAGGAAAATAATTCCAACTCGAATGAGACCAATGTTAATTTTACAAAAGTAATTGATTTTTATTTTTGTGTCTATCCATTAGTGCCATAAAAGGCAGTCTCACGTATTAGTTGTCATTTATGCCAGTTCGATTCTCTGTTTAGTTTCTATGCATATTTTGTACTTATTTTTTTCAGATAGATCCATGAATATTAGATACATTTTACTTTGATAAATAAACCCTTAATCAATCAAAACGTATTTTTGTATTGCTTACTTTCCAATAGTATACAAAAAAGTTTTAAAATCATACTTTCAAAAACTCCATACAAACTGTGCCACTCCCTTCTACCCTCTTATGCGGGGGTTAGTATCAATGTGAGTGTGTTGTACATTCCAATTGGAAGTGCATTGGGAGTGTATTGGAAATGCGTTGGGAGTGCATTGGAAGGGTATTGGGAGTGTATTAGGAGTATAATATACTATTACCATTGTATTTAGATATCCTAGTGGATCAACCTTATGGACGTTTCATTAGAGGCAATTCTGTCATAAAACTGTACAGAACTTCACCAAAATGGCTCGTGTGCTAGGCGCTCCCTCGATCATTGAGTATAGAATTCTATATACATTAAGTTTTCTTAATTTTTAAATTCATTTGGGTAGACTGCCAAATTTAAATTTATATTGTTTATATTCTCTAAAATTATGAAAATCGTAAATAAATGTTCATCAAGCATATTTAAACAAGTATATCACATTTTTAAAACAAATATTCTGAATCGATTACCATTCCATCTATTAGTAAATAGAGAAATTACGTTCGTTATTCAGTTTCGACAACCGTCCGATGGCTGGGTTGAAGACGACAAAATTATCAAAGACATGACTTGGACACCACGGAGCTTGCTGCCATCTATTGATACTGTCCATTGTCCTCCAAGATAATTTGCATTGGTATTGTTCTACTAGTTGATCTAAATACAATGCTATTACTTAAAAAATAGTTTTTTATCTTTTACTTTTTAATAAAGCCCTTAAAAAATAACTTTTAATAAAATTTAACTCGACCGATATGTACTTCTTTGGCCACAAAAAGGCAAATTTTTTTTTATGAAACCAAATTCTTGCAGGTTGTCCCACAAGTAATTTTTTAATGAATTGAAAGAAAATCAATTTTCTTTGTATTTCCTTTAAAATCGATTATTCGATTAATGGGTCATTAGATTATTTTATTAAATCGATTAATCAAAAATAGTAATTATCTTTGAAAATTCGAAAATAATCGACTAATAAAAAATATCGATTAATCGAAAGTAATCGATTAATCGAAAATAATCGATTAATAGAAAATAATCGATTATCGATTTTTCAATAAAAAATTATATTATTTTGCCCTCACCTAGATATAACTGGCAAGAAAATATATTTGTAAAGAAAATTCTTGGAACATATAACGCTGAATTGGTAATGTCCTCAGTTATGCATGTATATAAATTGAATCAACACGTTTAGTTTTTCGGAAATCTATTAATATTATTGCAAAAAATTATTGCAATATATATAGGCTCAGAATTTGATGGATAATATTTTTTGTATTTTTAAAGGAAGAAAGAAATCTTTATTTACTTGAAAAATACCTTTATATATAAATACACATTAAACACATTTTTCACATAATATACATTTTTTTATAATTACACAGGTCCACAAAAAAAAAGTGGTCTGTGCTGGGTATTCGACAAAGATTTTCCGACGTATTTTTTAAATTAAAAAAACCAATAAGATCCATTTGATTTTGTGCCCTGAGTATTTTCATATTATTAGTATTCTATTTTTAACCATTTGGACACACGACACAATAACTAATTAAAAATAAAAACGCGATCTTTGATTGAAGTTCTCCAGCTATTCCTTTACACCCAAGTGATATTTTAAACCCTAATCAAAAGGCGATATAGAATGGTTTTAAAAATCAAGGCTTATGGAAATCATCACATGGTTTAACCTAATTAATGCCAATGCTTCACAAACCAAACAATTCAACGTCCTAATACTACTATCGGCTTTCGGTCTTTCGTTCCAAGTTAAATCATTCCTCGTTTTTGTTACACTACGAGTTTAGCCTTGTGGGCCTCAGTCTCGATAAGGTGGGAACCACCATTTTAGCGTCTGTCGATTTATCAAATAATATTTCTTTTTTTTATAGTCAAGGTATATATTATTTTTATAAATTATTTTCAGCTATACGTGATCTTTAAATTAAAATCGTAAAACACTTTGTTATTGTAATTAGAATGCCCTGAATATTTTCATATTATTAGTATTCTATTTTTAACCATTTGGACACACGACACAATAACTAATTAAAAATAAAAACGCGATCTTTGATTGAAGTTCTCCAGCTATTCCTTTACACCCAAGTGATATTTGTATTCTTTAGGAAATTGTAGAAAAATTCCGAAATATAAATTTTATGAAATTTTATTAATTTGTACTTTGAATAAATTATTTCTCATGCACAACAAATAAAACAAATATTCCGATATTTGCTCTATATAGAGGAAAATAATTCAGAAGTCACTGACACCTGGCTATAAATAAATTGTTTTTTATGCAGAATAGCATTTAACACTGTTTATTGCACACACATATTTTCATGTTTTATTTAATCATATAATTGTTATCAAACATTGTTTCAGGAACTATTTGAATATGGCTGGTCTAATAGTTTGCTGTCCTCATACTATCCTCTATTAATGTCAAGCGCATCACTTATTGTTTGCTTTTGGGCAGAGGTAAGTTCTATCCAAATTCGATTGTCGATAAAAGCTGTAAATTGATTTTATACTTATTAATTTACATATTTTAACGATACATAATACTTAAAAAGTTTTAATAGTGTTATTGTTTTGGCTATCAAGGTTTAATTTGTAAAATGATTTAAATAGTGAAAAGATTTTCAGTTTAATTTGTTCCTTTATAGTGGTTGTATTCCAGAGATTTTGCAAAAAATATTTTTTAATATTATAATATTTTGGTAAGTGTGCTTGTAAACACTCGTTTTGAGTTACTACTTTTCATTAAGAATTCTAACCTTTGAGAGAGGACTTAAGTTCAAAATTAACAAATAAAAATTATGGAAATACTAATGTCATAATGGCGACTGAATTAACTACATTTTCGGATAAAAATTACATGATAAATTTTTATATTGTTTATGTTTTAACTCTTTTATGTGCTCGCAATTTTAATATCAGAATAGATTAGAATCTAGTTACTTACTTAATTTGATCTATGCTGGACCGCAAAATTAACCGCATACCTTTGATTTTCGTTCCGCAAATTTCGTTTTGTTTTTTAACTTTTTATACAAAGATAACAGTGGTCGAATAAAAATAATATGTACCTATGTAATAATTTTTAATATCAGCAAGGATTTTGAACTAAAAATATTCTCAACCGCAAAATTAATCGGACACGAGGTTTGTCAGAAAAATCAAATCAAAATAATTTCAATTAATAATTAAACATTTTTTAAAAAATAGACACAAAGATTTTTGATAGTATGAAATCAAATTTTAGTTTATCGGAAAAAAAATAAATAAATCAAAATAATTTCAATTAATAAATAATTAAACATTTTTTAAAAAATAAACACAAAGATTTTTGATAGTATGAAATCAAATTTTAGTTTATTTTTTAAAAAATGTTTAATTATTAAGAGGGTTCTATACCCATCAGCTCCGTCAATTTCATACATAACCTCGAAATCCTCGTCCCTTACGTCTTCGCCATAATCCCCCCCTTTAAAGAAATTGTTAGGCAGCCTGAAATATATTTCTGTGCATTTATGGTTGCATAGTCTACCAATTCTCGGATAAGAACATCTAGACGTAGCATTTTCGGCCATTGATGACTGACAAAATTAGATTTCTATATATAACAAGTTTAACACGGTTTCTGGTTTTTTGAGCTTATTTTGTTTATAATTACTTTTTATGAACACTTTATTCTATAGCCTTCACACATTCATAAATAGAAAAGCGTATAAATATATGTAGGTAAATATATTATTTGTTTTAGTTTTTATTTTAGAAATTTAAGAGATACTGTATTGAACAGTCTTCGTCCAATGATAACCTAATTATGCGGCCCCTAAACGCTCAATATATATAATCGTACAAGTTTAAGACTTGTACAACACAAAACGTGACGTAATCCAACCAATCCTTTGGTGTTTTGTTATTTGTACTCGACCCCTAATAAAAACCATTTCTTTGTCGATTTATTAAAGTCACAGTGATTATTCCGCACAATTAGATATTTCAAAGACCTGTCATAAAATAGTTGTCAGTGGGAAGGGCTCATAAATCTAAGGGGGTTACGACATAGCCTTCCATCTTGGACGCTATTTCTATTTGAAATAGTAATAGCCTTCCATCTTGGACGCTATTTCTATTTGAAATAGTAATCGCCAAGCCTGCCAATTTATAGAAAATGCATAAACGGTTTCTATAAAAATAATATTTTCATTGTGTTTGACATAAAATACTTAAATTTAATTCATTAATTTTGATTTCACGTATTGTAAATAGACTACATCGTATGTCATAACCCTTTAGACATACCAAACCTTAGAACCGCGCTTCATTTGTTTGGAATGCCTAATTTACTAATAAACACACATGTATTTGTTATTTGATTCGCATTCGCAATGACATTGACAACCACAGACAGATCACTTATTTTGATGACAACACATAAAATTACAACGTTGCCAAGGGTGGCATTCTTTCTTTTTATTTGCACATTACAGAATGGAAAATTATTTGTTTATAAATGGGGTTTTAAACTTGGGTTTCATAATGAGCTCAAAGCCTTGTCGAAAAGTGCAATTTTATAAAACGCCATTAGCGCCCTTGATTTTTGCTATAGGAATGTCTTTTTCTCCACTATATCAACTATATCAACAACTACAGAATATTGTATCGGAAAATCACCAAATCTGCTAAGAAAAACTATTACAAAAATCGCATCGCAAGAGCTAAAAACTCCTCCAAAGAAACCTGGTCTATAATAAATGACTTAAGGAATAAAACCCGTTCTTCAAACAGTGTAAATCCTAGCCCAGATGAACTAAACAATTATTTCGTAAATGTAAGTAAAAATATCAAATCTAACATAGCTCCGAGTCAGGATGCTCTCTCCTTCCTCCTACCTACTAAAAGGATCACTGAAAGTTTCTTCCTAAGACCAGTAGACAAGCATGAACTAGTGCAAACCATAAACAACATCCAAAATAAATTTTCCTGTGGAATTGATGGCCTGTCCACCAAAATATTTCTAAATATACCGGATGTAGTAATCAACATTTTAACTTCACTGATTAATGAATCCTTTGAAATTGGTCTCTTTCCTAACTGTCTAAAAACAGCTATAATAATCCCACTTCATAAAGGTGGCGACAAAACCAAAACCTGTAACTATAGACCTATCGCGTTATTGCCTACCTTATCGAAGATAGTAGAACGGCTAATAAAAAACCGTCTTTTGCCCTTTCTTTTCAAGCATAACATCCTCACAGCTCATCAGTATGGCTTTCTACCTAAAAAATGCACTAGCGACGCAATGTTTTCCGTTCTTAATGAAATATACACATCACTTAATGATAAACTTTTCACCGCTTCAGTATTTTGTGACTTCGCAAAGGCCTTCGATTGTGTAAATCATGATATTTTAATTAATAAGTTACAAATTTATGGCATACGGGGTTCTCCTTTACAATGGTTTAAAACTTACCTAGAAAATAGAAATCAACAGGTGCGGGCGAATGGTGAGGATTCTACAAATCTAGCAATAAGCAGTGGAGTACCTCAAGGATCAGTATTAGGTCCAATTTTGTTTTTATTATTCATCAACGACATCACAGACTTAAGAATAAGTGGTAGAATTACTTTATTTGCTGATGACACCAGTGTAACCTGGAATAATTCTAACATGCAGACATTACAATCTATCATAAGTGAAGATCTAGTGACTATTAAGTCCTGGTCTGATTCGAATGGACTTTGTTTCAACACCAGTAAAACTGTAGCATTGTCTTACAGAGGTACTTTACAACCTATAACTTTAAACAATAATCTGATCCAAACGGTGACTTCAATCAAGTTTTTAGGTCTTTATATAGACGATTCTCTAAAATGGTCTGCTCATATAGATACCTTAGCAAAAAAATTATCCTCCGCATGTCACTATCTGACAGTCTATAAGGAGTGAGGGCTACCATATTTAGCCTATTAATATAAACAACTAGGCATATATTATAGGCCATAGATCCAGCGGGAAACTACAAGGCCGGCACAATTATATTATGTTTTGTTATTTTATGGTTAAGTTCTGTATAATTAAAAAAAAGATGAATAAATGTTTTAAATAAAAAAATGAATGTTAAATATGAAAAGTAATTCTGTAAATCCATAAACTAAAAACTTTAATATGTCAATTAACATTTATCATTAGTGCATTTGTTCCTCAAACATATATTTGTTAACCACGTATTCACCCAAATAGTAAACAGGAACAAGCAAGAGCGAGTGAGTATATAATCCTGGTGTGGGTATCTTGATTATGAATAAGGAATGCTCGCTCACTTTTGTTTGTTCATGTTTAATCTTTCTCTTGATGAATACGAACTTCACAAACCAAATATGTGTTTGCTTGTGGTTGGTTTGCTTGTGTTCAAAAGAGATCGGGGACTATGTCGGTACATCAAAGTAAACTCAGGTTCTTCTTTGTTTTAATATGGACGAAGAATATTCAGTTATGAATTCTTGCGTTTTTATTTTTGTTAAAAAAACAGCAAATTTTTCTATTGCAGTTGTTGTTTATTTTCATGTTCTATTATACTAGTCCACAGTACATTACCCCTGATTTGCTTAATTCCATTGGCGGCTGGTGCATAAGTGCTGTAGAGCTGCAGAACTGCCAAAAAAATGCAAGTATCTTATGTACATTTTACAGAAATGATTTTAGACATTCTAAAATACAGGGTGTCTGTAAAAGGTCTTTACAAAAACATACCACATATTCCTTAGACCAAAATAAGTCGATTTAAGTAAAATTACCTTAGTACAGAGTTGCTTCGTTTGGGCTCCAGAGGGCAAAAAAATGGTATTAAAATTTTGTCCGATAATAATACATAGGCGTAGAACTTGATTTTTTAAATAATTGCCCTTTAAAAATTCTACGCCAATGGAAGAAAAGGAGTTTGAGTATGAAATTTAGATTGCGCAACTCATTTACTTTAAAAAAGGTACTCTTGATAAGACTCGATTACTCTCATGGTTTTCGCTAAATTTCTGTTTTAATAATTTAGAGTGTATAGGTTTCACAAAAATATTTATTTACAACATAATCAAAATAGAGATTTTACAAAAATTGTCCAGAATGTTCACCATTTTCACGCATACAAAGATTTATACGTCGAAGAAAATTAAAATGTATCCTTTCCATAACTTCTTCATTACCTCTAAGATTGTTTATTGCATCTTGAATACGTTGCCAGAGTTGTTCCTCATTTTCTACAGGTTCCCTGTAAACTGTGGATTTCAGATGTCCCCATAAAAAGTAATCCATCGGTGTTAGGTCTGGGGAACGTGGTGGCCAGTTTACAGGTGCGTCATTACCTCTGCCTATCCATTTGTGTGGATATTGTTCATTCAAGTGGTTTCTAACGTTTAAAGAAAAATGTGGTGGGGCTCCATCTTGCATAAACCACATATCTCTCCGAAGTTGGAGAGGTAAATCTTCTAACAATTCTGGCAACGTATTTTGTAGAAAATCCAAATAATTTTCTCCAGTTAATCTTCGTGGAAGTATGACAGGACCAACAATGAAATTACCAATTATTCCAGCCCACACATTAATTTTGTAAAACCCGCTTCATCGGTAAAGAGAACCTTCTTAACAAAGTTTGGATCTCTTTCTCTTTGCATATTAACAAATCGACAAAAACCCAAACGAATTTGATGATAATGGACTAATAATTCTTGTACTGGCTTCTTATGGTATGGGTATAGCAATTGTTCTCTAAGCACTTGAACGACATCTTTACTTACTCCTAGTTCCCTATTCCAAATGGTTGCCCGTGGGCGTTAATATGGCAACCCTGTGAGCCTGGTGGATTTAACAGGGTCAATAGTTATATAGATTGATCATCCAGGTTTTTCAAAATAAAGATAGGCTTATGGCTTGAAGTAAAAATTATTTTTTATAATTATTTTTTTACTATATTCAAATGCTGAAAATTGATTTCATAACACATTCTTTCTAAACTCATTCTGTTGAGGAATCTTTATAACTATAGTATCATTGACCCTCTCAAATCCCACAGGCAGAAATTTTGACAGGTCGTTGGAATGTCTAATACGCTATTCGAGATTTACGATAAGTGATACGCCCTCTAGGGACACGGTTCATAGACTGAAACGGTGGCCTCATTCCGTTTGCTAAGGACGGAATGACGTCAAGGAATGAAAATATTCTACTTGGGGTCGTACATTAGTTTTTAAAAAAAGCTAATATTTTATTGTTATTAAGTGGTGTTTATATTTTTATTTTTATTCTATGGTCTAGTGTTAAAGTTTTTATAATATCGGTAGTTTCATTTTTTGAAAGGCACTCTAAAAAATAGCAAGGAAAAACCATGTAATGATTTCCATCAAATTTTAAATGAAAAAAATGAAAAATATTATTGAGTGCATTGTTTATTTTAAACATTTTAGGTTAGAGTACGGCACGGCCTCCGAGCCGAACTCTGAACTCACTTTGTTTATACTCTGAAATATTTAGAAATTTTAACAAGCCTGGAGCGAGCTATAGTGTTGCTGTTGCCAAACAATTATTTTTGCAAATAAAAACTGAAATTAAAGGCTAATAGTAAGATTTTAGAGTATTCTGCAATTATCATTCACTAATATTAATTGTAGTCTTGTCTACCCTACATTTTAAAGCAGATGAGATGGCATTAAACACAACCAAGGGCAAGAAAAGTCAAAGGGCTTTACTAAAAGAACATACATTATTGAAAGAAGGTTTGCTACAGGAAGTTTTTAGTAAAAATTAGTTACAAATAGTTTTATAGAAGAAAAAAGGACCTGTTGGACTTCAGAAAGCATAGAAAAATAGTTCCTTGTTATTTGATGCATGTATAATGTACTAAAAAAAAAAAAACAATAAAACAACCCAGTTTTATTATTTAATTATCTATAAATAGGTACTCAATTAGACAAAAACATTTTTATTATCTATTGTATTTATATAATTTAAAAAGGTTATCTAACTAAATAAAATAGTTGGTATACAAGAGAAGGTGACGAAGTCCAAAATTTTACATTTTATTTATCAGGAAAAAATGAACAACTCTAAAAATGCCATAATGCGTATAATTTAAAATTCCCTAATGACCAAATAATTGATTTGATTTTATAATCATAAGAAAATTATCAAAATATTAATAACATAAAACTACTATCGGTAGACTTGGTCACCTTCTCTTGTATACTGACGATATTTATACTAGTTTACAAGCAAGACATGAAATTTTATTTATACTTACATTTGTACAAGAAATATTTAAATTGTTTGAAAATGAAAGACTAACGCAGTTGATAATAACTCTTATTAAAAATACTGTTAAAATAATTACACGTACAATACACACAGGAGATTTAACATTACTTGGAGTATTTAAACATAAAGGGATACTACAAATTATTTCTGAGGTAAAGATAGCACCTTTTACTCAAATATCTTAACGTGAATGCTTTAGAAATTTCTTCTAAACTCTCTTTAAAATAATTTGTGGCTCATTTTTACTAATAACTTTTTGTAGCAAACCCTTTTTTCAATAATGTATGATTTTTTAGTAAAGCCCTTTGACTATTCTTGCTCTTCGTTGTGTTTAATGCTTGTAAGAAACCATCTCATTTGCTTTTAAATGTAGGGTGGACAAATCTACAATTAATTTAATAATAGTGAATGATAATTGGAGAATAATACTCTAAAATCTTACCATTAGCCTTTAATTTTAGTTTTTATGCGTAAAAATTGTTTGCCAACAGCAACACTACAGCTTGCTCCAGGCTTGCCAAAAATTCAAAATATTTCAGAGCATAACAAAGTGTGGTCTGAGTTCGGTTCGGAGGCCGTGCCGTACTCTAACCCAAAATGTTTAAAATAAACCATGCTCACAATAATATGCCTCTTTATAATTCAAATAAAAAACAATTCATTTGAAATTTGGTGGAAATCATTAAATTATTTTTCATTGCAGTTTTGTAGCTTATCTTTCAAAAAATAAAACTACCGATATTATAAAAACTCTTGACACTAGGAATAATATCTAAGTTGAACTTTACCTATTGGTTCAAAATTCAATATGTTTATAAATATACCGCAAATGGGTTGCCTAAGAAAATACGGTCCAGACTATTTATTTTCTTAATGTAAAAAAAACGACACCCTATAAAGTATTCCCCAGATGCTTCGAGCATGCCCAAACTTTAATCTGTTCACCGCAGGATGAATTAAAGCTTAAGTTTAAAATTTGGTGTTTTCTTCTTCATCCGTTTTTAAGTTATCTTCAAAATTCGAAATTTGCACTTTCCTTCAAATATCTCGAATTAGGTCCATTTTAGGGAAATTATGTATAGGGACAAAATAATAGTGAATGACATCATAAGCAACTTTTATCATGATTCCTATACTTTCCTAATCTGTACACAGAAAGAAAAGTAAAAAATGGCCGTGACCGTATTTTCTTAGGCAACCCATTTGCGGTATATTTAAAAACACATTTTATTTAATAAAAAAAAAACTTATCCATTAAACAGATGGGTGAAGGTCGACCTTACGGATCCTGGACTATAAATTGATTGGTATGACAACACTGTAGTGTGTTTTGCCTACTTATACAGCGAGGGAAAATTAATTTAAATAGCGAATATTAGTGTGACCTAATTTGTGCTAAATTTTAACGAAAACACCATTATATCATTAAATTTGACATATACGTTTCTAGTTTTTTTTTAATATTGTTTGCTGGTCATAAAAAAGTAATTTAACGGCATGTAACCAAATTATTTTTAATGTTTAAATGAAATCAATTTTGAAAATAATAGCAATAAAATAATAATGAATTCCTGTGATCTCTATTTTTATTTAAGCCTACATTACTGTGATTGTCAGTGGAACACAAATTTCGTCATCACTATATAACTAATTACGATTATGACCAATATACAATGTATCATTTAACCGAAATTGGCTCTGAACCAAGGGACTGAGCCACTAGATTTTGATCTGGTTAATGCAGGAAGCCAAACATCAAAGTGAATATACCACGTATGGTACCATAATATACCACATGTGGTATATTCACTGATTTATGCGCTCCAAGTAGGCAAAAATTCATGGTTATTCACAATCAATTTGAACTATTCCAAAAGTAAATACCTAAATGCTGATCATATGCTTATATATGATCATGTTTAATTGGTTCTAGCTAAAGCAATAATGTTATAAGTACATTTTACAGCCTAAAATCAAATACTATTTTTTTTTTTTTTTTAGGTATTTCATCTGCCAGGAATTCGCTGGGATCGTCCGCAATTTCTTTCCAAGTCTTTTCTCGCTTTTGTCACTTTCAATATCATCAGCTACAGCCTCCTGTTCGCCGAATTCGTTACTACTCAGTTTACGGAACCTCCTTCCGATGATCCCGGTTTTTATCATCACTTATTCAATGGTTGTTATGCTGTATTGATGTTCATTGTGGTGGTGTTCTTTTTGATATATGGAGTTGAAGTTTACTTTAAGGTAAGACTTTTATTTTATATTTACTTTATTTTTCAGGTGTATTGGCGATAGTACCGTAAATTCTTGATTATACCATACATTATAAGAAATTCCTATATTCTGTAGTTCTTACACCTTAATTAGTTTTTTCGTTTAGTTATTAGGTACTTCAATAAAACATTTGATTGGCATACTTTGTATAACGGAAGGAAATCTTTTTTCAAATACGAGTATATGGCTACTATGTTCTTCACACATTCCTGACTTTTAATTACTGTATTATTTCCGGGTTTAACTGTAGTTTATAATTTATGTGTGCATATTTTTACACACTTGATTGGAATTTTTAGAGGTAGTGCGTTCATTAAAGTATTATCTTTATTGCCACTAGGCTTCCACTGCTTCAAGCAATCATAGATTCTCACCTCGACATTCCTTTCATACGTCCCAAATTCGATGTGTATTTGTGCCTAGTAAAAAACAAATTGATTTAAAAATTGTCATTATGGTTATCTTATCAGTAAAACGTATAGAGGTATGGAAATTTAAACGCGGACCATCTAAGCAGAATCTATTAGATACGAGCGTAAGTGGGAGTGAGATGGAAGTCGAACGTATCGGGCGCCAGGCCAGGAGTTCCACGCTGCTCAGCGGTCTTTATTTTTTTCACGCGTGGTCCTATTTTACCTTGTCCAATTTATTGTAAAATAGATGGTCTGCGTATAGATTTCTGTACCTTTATATGTTTTATTAAGAAGTTGTTTTTAGTAGCTCGATTCAAAGCCAAATATTTAAAAATTTAAGGAGTTCTTTAACTCATTTTGCGCAGTAATATACCTGCTGTATTTCATACTGGGCACACTTTTTCATCATATCATCCACTAATATATGGTGTAAAACAAAAGAAAAGACAGTCCTGAAAAGAACGATATATAATTTGTAAAATAAGTAAAGTACACATACAAAATTACACATTCCACGTGTAATAACTTTGGTTGTAACTAATTAGCTACTGGCAGAGTACTGGGCATGAGTACTTTACAAATTACTCACAAGTATTTAAGTATGAGTACTTATATAAGTAATAAATACTCAAAGAAAATGAGTACTTTTACAAATTTTAGAGAGTACTCGTGAAAAATCTATTAGCGAGTATGAGTACCTTACCTATTTTAAATAATTTTAGTTAGTGATTCAAGTTTAGAAAAAAGGATTTATAATAATTAGTCAGTAACCGGCTTGCTGATTCACTGGCCAAGAAAGCAGCCAACCAAATACTTTTTGGACCTGACCCTTCTATTGGCCTGACAAAATCGGTAGTGACAGACCTAATTAAAGAACATTCCCTTGTGAAATTCACGGAAAGATGGGACGAAACAAAAAAACTGCAGAGTTGCCAGGGAGCTTTTAAGTTATCCTGACAACAGTACAGCAAACAAATACTTGACTATGATTAGACTGAAGCTGCGCCTGGTCACAGGCATTCTGACTGGTCATTACCAAGTACGGAAGCATCTCCATATCGTGGAGCTATTAGAATCCGCACTCAGCAGGGGGTGCGAACAAGCAGATGAGACCATCGAGCATATCCTCTATGATTGCCCGACGCTCTCATTTATTAGAAAATTTGTGTTCGGCGAGTATCGGCCGATATAAGAGGAGCACCTCTTGGAGACGTTGTCAACTACAATAAATCTGTAGGCTGGCTCATGAGATAGGAGGTGCCTATCATCTTAGGAGGATGCAAAATGGGCCTAGTGAGGCCTAAGTGCCGTGGGATAACCCACCCTCCACATGTTACAGATACAGAAGTCAGTAAGTAACAAACAAAAAACGAGAGTATCACTTATCTTCTATAAATTAGTTATCACTTAACATTAACGTGTATGCCCAACTTTTCATTTTTATGTTAAAGTAAAATAATAAAGGTATTAGGTAGGGACAGATATACAAATAGAGAATACTCAAAAGAACAGTCTTATATTTTAAAAACATATGTTGCCATGATTCCTTGATTTGACATGTTCTTATCTTTTCCGTCCTGTGTCGTTTGGGTCGATAAGTTATTCGGATTTGCCGTAAGGTCGTGACGGTAATGGTAGTGGATTTTGAAAATAAATGGAATTGTCAGATATACTTTCGAAAGATTGTCAGAGAGAAATTTAAAAAAAAAGTCGAAATATTAAAGTTTAGACCCAGCTAGCACAGACACGTGATATTCAAAGACCTAATACAGGGATGTGATAAATACGTCACCAGATAACTTGTTTAGACGTAAAAAAAACACCATAATACTCAATTAAAAATGTTGTAAAGAAAATGTTTTATAAAAAAAAGATAAGTATTGCATTCTTGTTACTGCATAAAATTTCTGAATTGAAACGTAGTATACTAACCTGAACTATTACTAACTAAACATTAATTCTTGGAATATGTACTTAGAAATAATAAATTAAAAAAGATTATATAGCAGTGTCCAGATATTCAACAAATCATTCCGAATATACAGGCTTGGAGCAGCTTCAATGGTATCCTTATTAAATTTTCGTGTTACTAAAACAAAAATATAATAGTCATAACTACCAGAAACTTAAGTATTTAAATAAAATGTGAGCCAAAAAATAGAGTTAGCAATGACTGACAAAGACAGAAATATACACACGCCTCTGAATGAATTCCAAATTGTTTTATATCATTAAGCTCTCACAAGAGTGATATATTTCATGGTTCACACCTTATTATTATACGTTATACGCAAACAAGATAAATAAAATCAGACATGTCAAGAGAAATCAATGAAAAACTTAAATATGTTGGGTACTAGATGTCCCTGGCTAAAGAGTACTAGATGCTTCTAGCTAACATACAAAATTTCGTTTTTATTCATAGGTCAAAAACCTAATATTTTAATAATAATTTTATGATGCTAATTTTTAAAGTGATGTAAATTTGTGAATTTTAAACCAGCCCAGGAAACCAGCTGATGACATTTGTACGTCATTATTTGTTCATCACTGACGTCAGGATGACTTCCAAAATGACGTCCGAATGACGTTATTATGACTTTCTAAGTCACAGACGAATGACGTCATATTACGACGTCAAATTGCACTAAACTTCCTTACTACTTACCTTCAAAAACTTGCAAAATCATACAATAAATGTTAGTTATGGCAAAAGTGAAAAGCAATAACAACAAATAGGGTGAACAGGAGTGCGTTTAGAAACCTCGCACGGCGCGTCTGACCACATACATTAGAATAGGGTTAAGACGCGCCGTGCGACGTTTCTAAACGCACTCCTGCTAACCTGGACAATGACATGACAGCTGACATAAAATTTCATTTAAAAAGGAAAATTCCCAAAAATCCCTATATTTAAAATAAAAATCAAAAATTAATATAAACACTAAAGATACTTTTATTAATAAATAGAATCTAAAACAATGAAGGTATAGAATCGACGTGTACACGTTCGCAGTTTAACGCCTCATTTAGGAACGTGATAAACTGGTCCCTAAATGACGTCATAGTACGTCTTATTTTGGTGTCACAATGACCGCTAAACGATGTTGTATAAATTACCTTCTATTTATTTAATAATGAATAACAAAAACTAAGTGCATTAATGCCATAAATAGATTTATTTTTTTCGCAACAACTGTGTTTACGTGTCAAATTAGTCTGAAAATGACGTCATTATTACGTTACTTTTGCGTCAAAAATTCACATCTTCGTATTTGACCAAAATTCAACGTGATTATGACGTGAAACGACGTCCGGTGCTAGCTGGGGATAGATAGATATTAAACTTGAAGATTTTATATCGTAGAGATGAAATAAAAAAAAAAGAATAAAAAGGAAGATGAAGAAAGTTTTATTTAAATGTGAAGGGCATAGAAAGAACTTAGCAAGAAGGAGAGTTTGTCAGAAGGGGGAATAAGAGTAGAAAGTAGCATGAGGAGAAAGTAGCATGAGGAGATCAGGCGGGAGAACAGGAAGTCAGGAGTTTGAGTAGAAAGTAGAAGAAGGGGGAGAAAGAAGCGAAGCGGAAGATTTAGATTTTTTTTCAAATTCAACATTTATCAATACTCTTCAGCTGTAGGAATAAAAAGTACTGAATACTCTAAAATATAAAGTACTCGAAATTTTTTAAGTATAAGTCCCATCAGGATGAAAGTACCAATTAATGAGTACTTTGAGTACAATTTACTCGAGCACTGCCCAGCTCTGGCTACGCGTTTGGTTCTTTATTAGTCGAGTTTGGGCTTTGTCACTAGTCCTAGCGGCACAGGTAAATAACTATTAATTGGGACACAATAGTGAACGGAATAAATTTGTAATTAATCATGAATTAATGAAACTTCCAATCTGACGCGAGATTGCAAATTAGAAAATTTAACTACTGATTTAATTCCTCCATATATAAGTTTTAACCTAATAAGCTAGTGCCAATGAAATAAAATTTACTTTTGTAAATTATCTATAAATAATTTTAATTGGATTGTTCCAATTTGCTTTGAAATGGTGCTTACTTTTAAATAGATTATCAGATATATTACTTTCCACGTTCTATCATAATTTTACATTGATTATTAAATCAATATGAATAAGTTCTTTCTTGGTGCACATGCACCTATTGTTTTTATCGCACCTCTCACACTTAATCATTATATATGCAAATAAATCATATTCTATCAGCGCAAACAATGTTAAATATACGTACGTAATTAGTAAAACGTTCTTTGTTGTTGAGTTTTTTTTTTTAATGGATTTGTAAAGTGAGTATATTTGGAATAAAATTCAGAATTAATTGGCAGTAATTCAAAATAGGATAACACTTTGTAAATACCTAAAGCAAGAATGTTTATTCTGATTTAATGGATATATGATATTTAAAACTATTTTTTGCAAATTATTTACACTATTCTTATTTAAATATTGAGCAAACTATCATAACAACTTTGCAATTTAAAATTGTATTATTCTATTTTTCTTGTACATGGTAGTTGAATAAATAGT